TTTTTAAAATTTTTTTTAATTAAATTGTTTTCAATCAGCATTCTAATATTAATTCTCATTATTACATATCTATTTTTTTTTTTGGTAAATAGAATGTGTGCTAATTCATTTTAACTTAAATTTGCCTATACTTCACAAAGTCAATTGGACTGCTTCAATTTGCCTGGGGTTGCGACATTTCGGAGGTGGTGACGGGCAGGGAATCAGACACAGACTGGCTGGGAAGCTGGTCGCTTTCTGGAACTGCGAGTGGCAAAGACCCAAAAGGTGACTACGAACTGGAGGTAGCAAACACTGTTGGAACACCCACTAGAACATATTGCGGGGAGTCGGCTATATTATGGAGAGGCGGAGCCGGAGAATACACAAGCTTCAAAGCGGGTCATTGAGTGGCTGAGGAACTGGTCATAGACTGTGTGGACACAGAGGACGACTTGAACACAACATTGCCTGAATCAGAACCACGCGAAGCGGGCAGGGAGCTGCTAAACGTTTGTTGCAAATCCTTATAAGAAAACACATGAGGCACAAACCCAACATGCCTAGATACATAAGTGCAATTAGAATTGAAGTCTAGACATTTATAACCGGATTGAGTGTTCGAGTAACCAAGGAAAATACATGGACGTGACTTTGGTTGTAGTTTCTTGGTGTTATAAGGACGTAATCAGGGAAAACATAGGCAACCAAAGGGTTGTAACTTAACATAATTAGGCAATTGTCGAAACAAGACATAAAACGGAGACTGATTACCTAAAACCAAAGTAGGAAGCCGGTTAATAAGATAGACGACTGTCTGAAAGGTGTAGGTCCAGTACAAAGACGGCAAAGATGCGGAGTGAAGGAGCGACATGCTTGTGTCGTCGCTCTGCGACACCATTGTGCTCAGGAGTGTGTAGCGGGGTGGTCAAATGAGAAATGCCGTGAGTATTAAAAAATGGTCCAAGTTTCATGAACTCACCCCCATTATCTGAGTAAATGGAAATAATTGATAAACCAAAATATTTTTTCCACTAGCTATTTGAACTGAGTAAATATTGTAAATACATCCGATTTACGTTTCATGGGGTACAACCAAATGTATTTTGATAAGTGGTCTACAAAATGACATAATAGCGAAATTCATCAATAGAGTTCTCAGTAGGTCCCCACACATCAGCATAAACAACTTGCAGTGGTTTAGTGCTAACATGTGTAGTTTTTAAAAATGGCAGTTTATGGCTTTTATGAACATTGCAGGAAGAACAATAAAATTTTTGCAGAGATGACATAGAGACTGGAACATTACAGCGTTGCAACATAACTTGCAACACCTTATTGGACAGATGGCCAAGTTGTTGGTGCCACTGAGACGAATGAGACAACTGCGTAGCATGAACTGTTGGGTGAGAGGCAACTGGTCCAAAGTAGACACCATTAATGTTCGACCCCCGTAGCAGCGGAATCCCCGTTCGAAGTTCCTTGACAAGAAAATGAGAATCAATTCAAAGAATTCAACAGACACACGATTAGTTTTGCATAATTGGGAAATAGAAACTAAATTAGTGTGTAACCATGGGACACGCAGGACATTATCTAGAGTGAGAACATTAGAGGGAGTGAGAATGACAGACTGGCCAACATGGGATATTTGTAAGGAATTATCGTCACCCAGGCGTATTTCATCCGGTCCACTGTACTCAGAGAAAGTCTGCAGAAGAGCGAGGCTTGGTGTCGCATGGTTCGACGCACCATTATCAAACATCCAAGAAGGAGAAGCCCCAGTCATCGAATTGGCTGTAAGAGATATAGGAGATTGCACAGGAGGAACATTATGCTCGTTTAGAAACCAGGCTAGCTTGCGACACACCCTTGTTTCATGACCGTAAAATGACAAAACTTACAGACGATACCGGAGCGATTGTGATCTCCTTGTTACCAATTGTGTTGGTTGGAGCCGTAATGATTGGTATTGTGCGGGCCCTCCAGGTAGAATGGGATTGCTAGTTGTGCCGCAGGGGTGGCGAGGTGCGTTGAGTAACATTGGCAGTAGCCAATAAAGACTGACGCAAATCATCTGCGTCCTTCAATTAGCATTCATGGTCAGTCAGCACATCTGCCAACTCGCCAAAAGAAATAGGCTTCTCATGAACGCGAATAGCTGATATGATGGAGTTGTAATCCTCTCCTAACTGAGTCAATATGTAAACGGTTAGATCTTCATCAGATACGGGACACTGAGCCAATGCCAGATCATCAGCTATGGCTCGCATGTCATTGAGGTAAGTGGTGATGGACCGAGACCCTCACGGATTCCTCGTGAGCTTGGCCTTGAGGGATATAATATGTCCTCGAGAGGCACTAGCGTAACTAGCAACAAGCCGTTGCCACGCATCATGGGCTGTCGTAGCCGAGGAGATAAGGGGTTGTATGGTGTCAGTACAGCTTCCAAGCAGAGCACTGACAATAACTTAGTTTTGACGATACCAAGTTAAATGTTCCGGGTTGACAGTAGTTTGAGCGGGATTAGCGAATTTGGCTGGTTCCTTGGTTATACCATCAACATAGCCAAAGAGATTATACCCAACAAGTGTGGCATGAATTGGATTATTGCATTTGTGGTTGTAGTAGTGGAAACCATTTGGGTAGAAGTGGGAAAAAAACTTCGTAGGAGAAACTAGGCTCTTGATACCATAATAGATTATGAACTTGACTTACTTTATTGATGTAAACAATTAGCTTTAAATAACATACAAGGGAGAGAAGTTAGCAGGTAGTTAGTATGATGTTGTAACAATCAGTTTAACACTGCTATTCAACAGGAGCATAACTAGAACTAAATAGAGACAAAAGGTTTCAGCCACAGATATCCTTAACATAATATGTGATTCAAGAATAAATTCAAAAAAAAATCAGAAATTTTCGTGTCTTATGATAATTATTATAATTATAATAGGGTGTTGCTATTTGCACCCCCTTTGACTATTGAAAATATAAAAAGTTAAAAACTTATAATAAATACATAGGTGGTGCAAATAGCCTAACGAGTGATCAAAATGCTATTTGCACCACCTTAATTAAATCACATTTATTAAGTTTAAATAATAATTAATTATATTAATTCAAAATTAAAAAAAAAAAAACAAAACAAAACAAAAAAAAAAAAAAAAAAGAGAAATCCGGCCTTCTTCTGTGCCTTCTCACCGGAGAAGGCAACTGGGCTGCCTTCTCCGGTGAGAAGGCGATGGTTTCTCGTTTTTTTTTTTTTTTTTTTTTTATTTAAACATTTTTAATTTAAAAAAAATGAAAAACAAATAATAATCTTTGAACATATTTAATGCTAGTGGTGTAAATAGCAAATTTACATTTACACCACCTATAAAGCTATTTGACCTATTAAATAGGTGGTGCAAATAGTAAAATAGGTGGTGTAAATAGAATTTTCCTTATAATATTTGATTCAAGAATAAAATTGACAAAATTCAAAATTCTTGAGTTGGCTATTAGCTTACGTGTACATTTATTTAATTTAAAAACCAAAAATAAATAATAAAAACTTAGAGAACTGAACAGCTAAAGAATTTTTGTTTTACATAATTGAATTCAACGAAATTTAAAGATTTGTGTTTTTTTCTTTCACTAATATTTGAATTTTGGTCATATGACTATAGGGGTCTTGTTAATTTCAGTCCTTGACTTTTAAAAGTGTCAATTTAGTACCTTAACTATGCAATTTTTGTCAATTTTAGTCACTCTGGCCAATTTTCGTCGGAAAATTTTAATAGTTAAAATAATGAGGGTATTTTGGTCATTTCACGCCTCTTTTCTTCTTCTCCGGCGAGTCCATCTCTTTCTCTCCCGTTTCCGGCATTTTTTCTCCCTCTAAATCCTATCTTTAATATCATCAAGCCTCTTTTCCCCATCATCTTAGTTCATTGCATATCACCGGGAATAGGAGAGGAAGGGATGGACTTGCCTGAGAAGAAGAAAAGAGACGTGAAATAGTTAAAATATCCTCATTATTTTAACAATTAAAATTTTTAGGCAAAATTTGGCCGGAGTGACCAAAATTGACAAAAATTATATAGTTAAGGTACTAAATTGACATTTTAAAAGTCAATGACTGAAATTAACAAGACCCCTATAATCATATGATCAAAATTGAAATTCCCTCTTATTTTAATGATGTACCAAAAACATATATTATTAGTTGAATCTCCACCATGGGCCCTAAAACCTTATTATAATTGGGTAGTTTAAAGATATGCTGCCAAATAATGCAAAGTTTCATTGATATTGGAGAGTGAGGCCCATCACCAAGTACTAGTGGTTTCGTGCCACTTGCCAATTGTCATAGTGGAGATAAATTTAACCATCAAATTTGTTAATTGGTTAGCCAGTTTAATTATTTATTTGTGATTTGTGATCACTATGCTTTGGAATCAACTTTCTCTCTCTTATCTGGGGGGTCACAATTTGCGACATGTGAGATATATATAATTTCATATAAAATCAAGAATTAATGTATTTATTAAGTTAGTGTGCTCTTCTTTTTAAGCATGGCAAAATATTTTAAAAATAATAATAAGAGTGATAAGTACATTTAAAACTTGCTTCTAATAGTAAGGTGAAGTTCAAACTCTGCCACAAATAAGTTAAAAATTGAGCTCGTAAAGTTGAACTAAAGTTAGGTTGGATTTGTCATGCATTGGGACCGGTTCATAGGATCTAGCAATTAGTACAGTGAAATTGTGATTATGAGGTATAAAAAACAAAATTAAAAATGAAATATACTTTATTCCTTCCAACAATCTTGTAAGCATGCATGTGACTAAACTAAGCTGCACACACTGGTTTAGTATGCAATATTTGAAAGAAAAGATCAAGGTTCGAACTCGCGTAGCGACTGCGTGAGACACCGAAATGCTGAGCAGTCACTGTGATTTACATCTTCCTTTTAGGGACTAAGTATAAAATAAGATGAGCGATTTTGCATCCAGGTAGCTCATAGTATGAAAACAAGAAAACACAGTGTGAGAGCTAGAAACTAAAAAGAAGAGAGGCTAGAGTTTGATCATCACAACATGATTACATACATATAGTACAAGATCGACATTTAAGGTGGTGAGGACAGACCACATCGGCGGTGTAGCGGGACCGGAGACGGCGTGACGACAAAGTATGAAATAATATATAATATAATTAGCTAGCCAGTTAAGAATGTATTATGTGCAAAATCTAGCTGGTTGTCAAACCAGCTGTAAAACTGGTCGCTAACAGGCGCCACCAAATTTCTTTCATCTTCTTGGTAATCATAATCCATCGTCCATACTGAATAATCATCCCATATTGCAGATCCAATCATGCTACGTTCACCGCCGCCGTGACTTTCTTGAATTTCCGGCGACTCAATAGCTTTCCATATCTCATCCATGGAGTAAACCTTCACACCGCCGCCCATCTTTTCTCCGTTATCGGCGCGCGGCGGCGGGGGTGGCGCCTCCACGAACCCTCCGGTATCGTAGAAGGCCCTCTCGTTAGCCCCCACTACCGCCGGCGTAGACTCCTCCCCGGGGCTGCCGGAAGAAGAGGAGGAAGAATTCGACAGCGACGACGGAGATGAAGAAGCGCCGCCGCCACCGCCCTTCTGCTGCTGCTTCTTCTTCTTCTTGTCGTGAGCCTCTTTCCTCATCTGAGTCCTCCAGTAATTCTTGATCTCATTGTCCGTTCGCCCCGGCAATTTCCGAGCAATTTTTGACCATCTGCATACAAAATAACCATGGTTTCATCTTCTAATACCAAATTCAACAATTAATCATTTAACTTAGTAATTATGAGGTCAAACTGGTCAGATAATTAATTTAGTAGTAATAAGATTACAAGTTTATTAACGCTCAATAAGAACGGTCAATTTGCCTTCTTGATTTGATAAGCTAGTTAATCATAAACTTTATGTTTTTTGTGCTCCTTTAATTTACTGATTTGAGTCACGAGCAGGATCAAATTTACCCACAATTTTAAAAATTGAATGATTCATTCTATTTCAACTAAAAGTTTAAACGGATAATGAAATTGATATTATCCTATCTTACCTGTTGCCCAATTTGGAGTGGAGTTCAAGAATGAGGCGTTCTTCATTAGGAGTCATCTTGCCGCGTTTGAGCCCAGGGTGGAGGTAGTTAACCCACCGCAACCTGCAGCTTTTTCCACTTCTTTTCAAACCTAGCAAGCACCAACAACATAAGTGATCATAAGAGATCAGAGGCAAAACCTATGACAAGAAACATGGGATTAATCTATGCAATAACAGTCGCTCTTGGAAGAGTTATTCTTGAGACTTGATTGGACTAGTCAGTAACGCTTTCAATTCGGAAGAATTGTTCCGGAGACTTGATTGGAATAGCCGTTCTCGAAACTTGATTGGAATAGTCTCATATTGTAGAATGCAAAAAACATATGCAGTGTGTATATATATACCTATTTATGATGGCTGTGGGCATGGGAAAAAAGATAGATAGAAGCCAATTATTGTGCATGTATGTATGATGATATATGATATACCTAGTTTATTTTTGGTTCAATTCTCCCGCCAAAACCTTCCAAACCTGAGATTTTGGACAGAAAATCCCACCGGCGATCGCCAAACAAGTTCACATAAAATGCCAGCTGAACATCTTCTTGTTCAGTCCATGGCCCTTTTCTCACTTCTTCACCCACAATTCTCATTCTCTCTCTTTCACTTACTCTCTCTCTCTTACTTTACTTTTATGGTACTGCAGGTATCTCAGAATACTAGGCCATATTTATACTAGGAATATAATTGTTCTGTAATTCTTTGTGCTGTTCCTTTTTTAAAAAAATTAAAAATTGGTTAATCTTGACCGTCCAAGTGGGCTCAATAACCATGGTCATATTATGCAAGCCACTATGTATAGCACTCATGGAGAAAAATAACCCACAAGGATCCTTATGTATAAGTGGTTGAGTTCATCTTCATATTTAGTTAACTTTATGGTTGGGACAAATTAGTTTGCAGGGGAATGAATATCTACTATACTAATAAGAGCTCAAGAGAGTTAGGCCTATAATGGGTAGAAAAAATGGCGGTCACAGATTTTAATCAAATGAATGGCTCAGATTGATTAAAATATTGATAAGATTTAAATTTTACATTAAAATTTCCTAAAATACCCACACACCGTTACTAATTCCGTTAAAATTTTAAGAATTGCCGTTAGTTCACCGTTAACTTACTCATTGATTTCAATAAAAAAAAAATGTCTTAGGTTTGAACCTCATCCCAAACAAAGTTGGCATAATTAATACCCACACACCGTTACTAATTCCGTTAAAATTTTAAGAATTGCCGTCAGTTCACCGTTAACTTACTCATTGATTTCAATAAAAAAAAAATCTACTATACTAATAAGAGCCCAAGAGAGTTAGGCCTATAATGGGTAGAAAAAATGGCAGTCACAGATTTTAATCAAATGAATGGCTCAGATTGATTAAAATATTGATAAAATTTAAATTTTACATTAAAATTTCCTAAAATACCCACACACCGTTACTAATTCCGTTAAAATTTTAAGAATTGCCGTTAGTTCACCGTTAACTTACTCATTGATTTCAATAAAAAAAAAATGTCTTAGGTTCGAACCTCATCCCAAACAAAGTTGGCATAATTAATACCCACACACCGTTACTAATTCCGTTAAAATTTTAAGAATTGCCGTTAGTTCACCGTTAACTTACTCATTGATTTCAATAAAAAAAAAATGTCTTAGGTTCGAACCTCATCCCAAACAAAGTTGGCATAATTAGTACTCTATTTTACTCTTATTAAATTATATAAATAATAATTTAGTAGCTACAATAAAAAAATTATAGATATGCATTTCTTTAATTTAGAATTATGTGTCCACAATGCCTTTATTCAAAAAAAAAATATTCATTATCAATAAATTAAATAAGAGAAATAATTTTATTAGTTATATTGTCTTTATTTTTCTACAATATAAAAATTATTTATATTCAAATTTATTAATTGATTATATTCGCTACATTGTCCTTACAATGTCTTATTTCAGTGAAAAAAAAAAATTATTCATTATCAACAAATTAATTAAGATATTTTCATTAGTTATATTGTCCTTATTTTTCTCAAATGTAAAAATTTTTACATTCAAATTCATCAATTGATTATATTCACTACATTGTCTATTATCTTTTTTGTGCACTTTTTTTCTAATTAAATATCAAAGTTATAATACAAAATAATGCTATATATTTATTTACCAAGTATTTTATTAATACCATGAAAAAATTAAAAAAATATATAATTAATAAAGCCAACCATATTAACTAGAGAGATTTTGTGACAAAGAGAGTATTCAAATCACACAACACATTGAAGTGAGAACTACCTTACAATGTCCTTGTTTGACAATCAGCAGTTAGCGGTTAGCGTTAGCGGATTTGACCAACGAATTTATTTAATTATTAACATTGGGTAGAAAAAATGACCGCCAAATTATTAAATCAAATGAATGGTTCAGATTGTTCAGGTTTTAATTTTTTTCTTTTAAGTTTTTCTAATTTATCCTTAATTATATGATTATCCATTTAACTTTTCCGTTAAATACCGTTAATTCTCCGTTAGTCTAATTCTAATATTAAAGTCTAATATAGAATTATAACTACACCATCAATCTAATTCTAATATTAAAGTCTTAATAAAACTTAACCACAAATCCTAATGTCGAAATCTCCTCAAACAATATTAGTATATATTTAATATTTTATACCCTAATTTTTATTTGTTCTCCCTTATGTCCCGTATTTGGTTTCAACCATACCTATACAATTATTTTATTGACAATTATAATCAATCTTGACTATATTATCTTGCATTTGTAAACTTAGAATTACCTATTTAACCCGCACGGACTTAGCTCAATGGTTAATTTAGTGGGCAGTATTTGGGAGAAGAGACCAAGGTTTGAACTTCGGCGGCGACAGTGCGGGAATTATGTCCAAAGTGGGTAGATTGCTTGTGCGCACCGGCATTTGGTCCTGTCTGCTAAATCATTAAGTCACCGTGATTTACAACTTCCCACAATGCTCTGTCGGGTCAGAGTGTGGGGACCCTTGGAGTTGGGGACTCAACCTTTGGGAGAAGAATTACCTATTTAAATACGCAAATTCAACCTTCAATTATCTATGCATGAACAATTTCAATATAATCTCGCCGTAATATACTTTAAAGTACTTATTTAAAAAAAGAAAAAAAAAAAAAAAAAAAAAAAAAAAAAACAAACAAACAAACATTGGGCATTATCTCAATCGCGCAATGCGCGTAAAAAACTAGTGAAATAAAGAAATGTGACAATTTATAATAGAATCAATCAATTTATACCAGGACTATGTGGTCTAATGGTATCCGGGTTGGACTTTTATTTGGAAGGTTGTGAGTTCAAGCCTCAGTGGAGGCGTTATTGGCTCTTTGTGTTTCAATAGGTTGAAAAAGTATATGAACAGATACTATAATGTAATAGAGCTAGTTAGCATTCAAAAAAAAAAAAATCAATTTATAAGAATTAACTAAATATAAAAGGCATTCAAAAAAAAAACTAAATATAAAAGATTTTTTTATAAGTTATAACGACATTGATAAATTTACAAATAAATTTTTAAAAAATGAGAATATAATGAGGTTGGCCAACTCGTTAATATAGTATGAACTATGAAACAATGTGAATAACTTGTATCGAGATAGGTAAATTTACAGATAATCAATGAAATAAAATAATTGTGGCAAAAGAGTTAAATAACTACATGTAATAACATTGATTGTTCATCTACACTATGAATTAAAATATGATTCATCTAAGTTATTATATTCCAATTAATTATTTTTCATCTAGCATTTTTAGCAAGTTTCTAACAAGTAACTCATCTAATTTGCTTACATGAAAAAATAAAATAAAAACAAATTGCTGACATGTTATTTTTTTTTTTCATCTAATTTGCTGTTTTTGTCACTTTTTTGGCAGAAAAATTCAATTTTTTTTTTACGTATTTCTAGATTATGTTGATTTCTTCTACGAATTTTCTAGAAAATAGTGAATCTATTTTTTCCGTCGGCTGTGAAATAAGTATGTTATCGCTTTTGTGGGTTTTGAAATAGATAGACAGCGAAGAAACGAGACTGTCATATGTCCCTGAGTGAAGCAATCATGTTTCTGAAGGCGATGGTACCCCTCCATGACAAAAATATACATTTTGTAGGGCAAATTTATGGTAACAACAACATTGATGCATTCCGCTTAGAATACCCTTACGTGTTTTCACACTCAACACTCACAATAGAGGAGGAGTTGGAATCTTTCAAGCCATATCAAAAATCAACATAATCCAGAAATACGTAAAAAAAATTGACTTTCTCTACAGAAAAAAAGTGACAAAAACAACAAGTTAGATGAAAAAATAACATGCCAGCATTTTGTTTTTATTTTATTTTTTCATGTAAGCAAATTAGATGGGTTACTTGTTAGAAACTTGCTAAAAATGTTAGTTGAAAAATAATTGAGAGTATAATAGCCTAGGTGGACTATATTTTAATTCACGGTGCTAGGTGAAAAATCAATGTTCGCAGCAATTATACTGTGGACCGCGGCCCAAAAACGGCGCGCCGTTACAGTTAATGGGAGCGCGCATGTTTGGTGTATTAATTACCAACTGAAAGTACAATGTACCTAAACTGACACTACATCAGGTATTATTTTTATATTATCAAATGAAATTGCAATTAAATTGAAATGAAATTGTAGTTGTGTTGTAATGAAACTACAGTGTATATAAAATGAAACTGAATAACATTTCACATATTTGAGTGTATATTGTGCAATGAAACTGTAGTTATATCGAAATGATAATGTAGTATTTTAATGAAACTATAGTGTATATAAAATAAAATTAAATAACATTTTCACATATTTGAGTATATAAATATCGAATGAAACTGTAGTTATATCAAAATGAAACTGTAGTTGTGTTAAAATGAAACTGCAGTGTATACAAAATGAAATTGAATAACATAGTTACTTTTCGCGGAACGGCGCAAAACGGGTGCCGTTTCTTTTCATTAAACAAAACGACGTCGTTTAGAAGTTCGTTCTGCGATCCACGATATAATTTGTCAATGTTAATACATGGGCCTATTTGACATTTTTGCCAATAATTGTAATAAGTTATAGTGAAAGAAATATAATCAATTAATTCGTCGTTAGTCAATAAATATTTGAAAAGTAATAATTTATGATGATATTAATCAACTTATGATTACCTAATAAATATAAAAGAGTGTGATATATATTTGCTATAATTAATAATCATATAACATTAGTTAAGGAAAATAAATTAAAATAAAATTAAAAAAATCATGGGTAGCCATGAATCCATCATCTTGGGAATTGATGATTAAGCTTTAGCCCTATTTTATTATTTTCCCCCTTTTTTAATCATTAAAACTATATAATTTAAGAGGTGGAATATTATCCACATGTTTATCGTAAAACCTTATATACTTGACTTATATTGCAATGACTAATATCACCATTGATTATTAATTCTAAAAAGTAGCTCATTATTTTTTCTTCTTTTAAGTTCGAATATCAATTTTAATGATCTTTGTCGCTCTTATTTTAGAGACTAATAGATAAAGTAAATTTAACAAAGTTAAATCTATGGTTAACTTTCATTTTTTTAATCACTCA